AAGTATAAGACAGGCTAATAGTAAAAATGCATTAATTTTCTGGGATAGGCTGGCAAGAATAATATTCACTGTGAAGTTTATGCAGAGAAAATACAAGCAAAATAGGAGAAACACTGCTGCCTTTTATTTACTTACTGTTCACATCCTTTCCAATTTTTATTGATGTGCAAGCAGTCTTTGTACATTGTAGATATCAATCCCTTGCCAGTTGTAGACATTGTAAATACTGTATCTCCTTCCAGAATTCACCTGTCTCAATTTTGTCCATGGTGTTCTTCCTGGAATGGAAGTTCTTACTTGATATTATGAAACCAAGATTAAGAATATTAATCCACATGACTTGTGTTTTTGCAATCTTAAGAAGGGTTACTCAACCCCTGAGTCACAAATCTTTTTCTGCATTTTTTTTTACATTATTTCGTTTTTATTTACATTATTTCTCATCAAAGTCCATTATACTTCAAATTTGCATGTGGTGAGAGATAGAAAGGCAGCTCAACTTTTCTATGTAACTAAGTCAATTTTCAGCAAATTATCTTATGAATCAGGGGTTAACAAACCTTTCTTTAAAGGGCCAGGCAGGAAATATTTTAGGCATTGGGGATGTACTGTCTCTGTTGCAACCACTCAACTCTGCTTTTGTAGTGTGAAGGCAGTCACAGACTATATGTAAACAAAAGAGAGTACTTGTGTTCCACATATCACGGAGTATTATTTCAATTGTTAAATAATAGGCTTTCTTTTCAGTTCAGTTTTGGTTCACAGCAAAATTAAGCAGAAAATAAAGAGTCCCCATATACTTCCTGCCCCCACACATGCAGAACATTCTCTACCATCAACATCCCACACCAGAATGGTACCTTACTAATGAATCTACATTGGCACATCACCCAAAGTCCATACTTCACATCAGGGTTCACTCTTGCTGTTGTGCAGTCTATGGGTTTTGACATGTATGTAACTACATGTGTCCACCAGTATAGTTTCATACTGAATAGTTTCCCTACCTCCTATAGACTGAATATCTGTCTCCCCTCCCACCCCCAACCCCCACCCCTGCAAATGCATATGTTAAATGCTAACCCCCAGTGTGATGGTATTTGGGAGTGGAGTTTGGGGGAGATGATTAGGTAGAGCCCTCATGAATGGGATTAGTGTTGTTATAAAAGAGGTTCCTTGCCCACTTCCACCATGTGAGAACACAGCACATACACAGCTGTCTATGAACCGGAAAGCCGGCTCTCACCAAGTACCAGGTCTGCTGGCACCCTGCCTCCGGAACTGTGAAAAGTAATTTTCTGTTGTGTATCAGCCACCTTGTTTATGTCATTTTGTTATAGCTGCCCAACAGGATTATGACACTGCCCTAATAATCCTATGAGCTCTGCCTGTTCATTTCCTTCCTCCTTGACAACCCCCGACAACCACTTTTTACTGTCTCCATGGTTTTGCCTTTTCCAGAATGTCATATAGGTGGAATTACAACATATGTAGCCTTTCCAGATTGGCTTCTTTCACTAATTATATGCGTTTAAGGTTCCTCCATGTCTTTTCATGACTTGATAGTTCATTTCTTCTTAGCACTAATATTTAATCATCTGAATGTACCAGTTTATGTCTGTATTCATCTACCTGTATAGTTTCATACAGAATAGTTTCACTACCTCCTATAGACTGAATGACATCTTGGTTGCTTCCAAACTTTGGCAATTATGAATAAAGCTGCTATACACATCCATGTGCAGGTTTTTATGGACATGAGTTTCCAACTCATTTGCATAAATACCAAGGAGCACTATTGTATGGTAATGCTCTATTGTATGGTAAGAATATAGTTTTGTAAAAAACTGCCAAACTCTCTTCCAAAATGGCTATCCCATTTTTGCATTTCCATAAAAGTTCATGTTGCTCCACATCCTCATCAGCATTTGGTGTTGTTAGTGTTTTGGAATTTGGTTATTCTAATAGGTGTATAGTAGCATCTCACTGTTGATTTATCCGCAATTCCCTAATGCCATATAATGTCAAGCACCTTTTCATATGCTTATTTGCCATCTGTATATCTTCTTTTTTAAAAAAAAAAAATATATATATATATATACTTTTATTGATTTCAGAGAGGAAGGGAGAAGGATAGGGAGATAGAAATATCAATGATGAGAGAGAATAATTGATCGGCTGTACCCTCCTGGTGATCCAGCTCACAACCAGGCATGTGCCCTTGACCAGAATTGAGCCTGGGACCCTTCAGTTTACAGGCCAGTGCTCTATCCACTGAGCTAAACAAGCTAAGGATGTATATTTTCTTTAGTGAGAGGTCTATTCAGGTTTTTGGTCCAGTTTTAAATCAGGTTATTTGTTTTTTTTCTTGTTGACTTTGAAGAATCCTTTGCATATTTTGTATAATAGTGTTTATCAGATATGTCTTTGCAAATAGTTTGTCCAGTCTATGGCTTGTCTTCTCATCTCTTGATGGTATCTTTTGCATGGTATCTTACTTTAATGAAGTCTTATCTTCCCCCCACAACTCCTTCCCCAGATTGTGCTTGCTGCTGCATCTAAAAATATCATCACCAGCCCTAGCCAGTTTGGCTCAGTGGATAGAGCGTTGGCACAGACTGAAGGGTCCTGGGTTCGATTCCAGTCACCTCAGTTATAGGCTTGATCCCTGACCCTTGTCAGGGCACATATGGGAGGCAACTAATCTATATGTCTCTCTCACATCAATGTTTCTCTCTGTCTCTCCCCCTTTCTTTCACTCTCTCTAAAAATCAATAGAAGGATATCCTTGGGTGAGGATTAAAAAAATAAAAATGAAACTATTAAAAGTCATCACCAAACAAGAACATCTTTTAGGAGTTTATAGTTTTTCATTTTACACAGACATTGATGATCCATTTTGAGTTAGCTTTTGTGATGGGTGTAAGCTTTATGTCTACACTTATTTTTGTGCATGTGGATATCCAGTTGCTCCAGCATTTGTTGAAAAGACTATTGTTGTCCTTTGTCAAAGATTAATTGACTATATTTGAGTGAATCCATTTCTGAATCCTCTATTCTGTTCCATTGATCTACTTGGCTATTCTTTCACCAACACCACTTTCTGGATTACTATATTTTTATAGGAAGCCTTCATGTTGGGTAGTGTGTTCCAACTTTGTTCTCCTTCAATATTGTGTTGACTATTTGGGGTCTTTTGCCTCTCCATGGAAACTTTAGAATCAGTTTGTCAATATCTACAAAATATATCACTGGAATTTTGATTGGGATTGTTTTGAATCTATAAATCAAGTTTGAGAAAACTGACATCTTGACAATATTGAGTTTTCTTATCCATGAACATGGAATATTTCTCCAACTAATTTTGTTCTTTTATTTCTTTCAAAAGAGTTTTATAGTTTTCCTCATAGAGATCTTATGTGAATTTTAGAACTCAATTTTTGAGGTTTGAAAAATCACCTAGAGTTTTAATTGCTGTTACATTGAATTTATAGATTAATTTGAAGGGAATTGAATTTTTACTATGCTAAGTTGCCCCCATTCATGAATATATTATCTCTGCAATTATTCAGACTTTTTATGTATTGTAAAGTTTCTCTGAGACGATCTGGCACATTCTACTTTAGGGTAATTGCTGGATAATTTCTAATTTTTGTTTCTATTGTGAATAATTTCTTTATCTTTCTAGAAGCTTAGGAAGTTGTTAAATTGATCTTACATACAACAACCTTACTGAATCTTTTAATTAGTTTTGAAAATTTGTTAATTCTATTAATTTTCTATGTAGACCACCATATCATCAATTAGTGATAATTTTATCTTTTTTCCCTAATCCATCACCTATTTATATGTATTAATTCAATTTGAAAATGGTATGCTGGGACAAAAAGATTAAAAATTCAATATTTATTAGATTTCCAAAGCCTTATAAAACTAATAGAAGAAAATGGCATCTAAATTAAAGAAAATGTGCATCAACAAAGTCAAAATTTTCCTAAAAACAATGGTAACAGACAACACAGATTCTATGATAACTATTTTGATGTCTATAAACTCTTTTCCTTGGGATTTCTCTCTTGACGAATGTGGTCAAGAAACAGAAGGCCAGTCTGAGTCCTGAAGCTTATGGATAGTTCCCTATTTGTAGCCCCAACACAGGGATTTAGCTGTTTCTGGTCCAGCTCTGAGCCATGCAGCCACCGCGAACAGTTTGCATCAGAATTACCTTGCGTGCCTGATAAAAACGAAGAGTCCCAATCTCACCCTCAGACTTGAAAAATAAGAAATCTTTGCTGATATTACCTGCACATCCACCATTTTAATGTGAACCCGCCCCTCCAATGATTCTATGTCTACAAGCTTGAGAATCATGATGTCAGGGGCAGAGAGCAGAGAACCTGACCTCTAGACAAATGGACATCACCAACCAAGTCTAATAGCCCCCGTCTCCTCCTTGCTGCCCAGTCTAGAAACCTGGGAGAAGAAAGGGAGACTTCTGTTCTCCAGTCCTTCTTACAAGAACCTTGACATTCTTTATGGCACATACATGTAAAAGGAAACCATGAAAACCACCGGCCCATAATTTATCTGCCTGCCCAGAGCAAGCCATTGTACTGGTTTGAGGACAGTTCAAAAAAAAGTCAGTGCTGTTTCTTTCAGGAAATAGAGATACTCTCTCATGGTCATCCTTCCTAAAAACTAGGCCCTGAAATTATCAGGGACTCCCTCCTGCCACAGTAGGAAAGCTTGGAGAATCAGGAGACTCATGAAGGTGCCACGTCACTGGTTTTAATTCCACAGCAGGAACATGACTTCAGGGCCAAGCAAAACCCCAGGCCCAGCACTGGGTCAGTGGTTTTATGTTCCCATCGAAGTATTATTGCTAGTCGAAAAATCTCGCAAGGAGTACAGAAACTTATTTACCAGACAATAAACACAACTTAAAATTCACATTGCATTCTAGTAAATTCTGAAAATGATCATGATACAAATATTACAACTAAGGAAAAAAACTCACCTAGAGGTTTAGGGTTTTTTTATTACTAAAAAACCAAAGGCACTACAAACATAGCTTATATTTGTTGTATCATCTCACATTTCAACACCTAGAGTCATTGTTATGGTCATGATTAAATAAAGATTTTAGTGTCTCAAGGCTATCTTAATTTAGCCCTTAAGCCAAAATAAGAAATTGACAAATTAGTTTCCTTTAAAAAAAAAAGTTTGCTTTGAGAAAACCTTTATTGCACATCACTGAGTTCATTTCTATTTGAACAAACAGTACACAAAACAAAGATTCATGTTAGGAAAAATCCCTGAAACTTCGAATCAGCATTTTGCAAGGATAGAGACTTTGGTTCTGTGTCTTTTAAAGGCATACATTTCCCACTTATTTTAAAATTTTGAGGAAAGCTGTTTTATAAAATGTTTTAAATGTAAGTTATAGAACCTCTCCCCACAAAACAACAGTTCCCAACCCTAAAATGCTGCTCCTTTCTGAGGCTGAATGTGCCTGTGAAGGGCACACAGTACATCAGTACATGTTTTCCACTGATGACGCAATCAGCACAGTCCGAATCACTGTAAGAAGAGGCTAAGAGCTAGAGTAAAGAGTGGTATGGAGCCCTGGCCAGTTTGGCTCAGTGGATAGAGCATCAATCAACCAGTGGACTGAAAGGCCCCAGGTTCAATTTTGGTCAAGGGCATGTACTACCTCGGTTGCAGGCTCCATCCCCAGTCCCTGTCAGGGAGATGGATGTTTCTCTCTCTCTGTCTCTCCCCCTCCCTTCCACTTTGTCTAAAAATCAATGGAAAAAATACCCTCAGATGAGGATTAAGAACAGCAACAACAACAAAGAGTGGCATAGAAAACACCTTCTAAAGCTATGGCAAAATAAAGAACGAATAAGAAGCCAATAGCTTCACTAATCAAAGGTAGTGTTTTGTTTTTTTTTAAATAAACTCAACATAAAGCTAAAAAGACAATAATTATTGCTTTTAAATTATAAACCTAATGCATTCTTAATGAATTATAGCTATCAATTTGTTCAAAATGATAGTCTTCAAACATACTCTACCAGATCTTAAAATATCCATATAGTTTCCCAACTCAGCTGCACATCATATTTTCCTCTAGAGCACAGATAAGCCTGAGGGCTACTTTGTACAACAGCAGAATATAGATCCTGGAGGTTCGTCGTCTAATCTGTACTTTCCAGAGTTGGGTAGATCTTTGCACTCTGCTATAAATGTCCGAAGTCTGGTCTCTGGGAAGCCATCCTGCTGGTAATGCTGTGCAGAAGAATAAAAATAATAGCTCTCATTAATGAGCCCTTGAAACAGCTTTATTCCTAATTTAAAATAGCTCATTAGGCAAGGGAGATCTTTCTAGAGGGGCAGTGTAGTCACTTCCAAGTATTTTCAGGGAGATGTCATAGGTTTGGCTAAAGTACAGGGGGTCTGGGATTCAGCAGTGCCCTCTGGCCTCTCCTTTGTGGGTCTGGTTCAACCTAAAATGAGCATGTTGAATCTGAGTCCATCTGAGCCCTTTTTCCCGGAAGCAATGTCTAGCCAGTCCTGCTCCCAGTCTGAAAACCTTGTCCTACAGCCCATGACTTGGAGGCTAATGTGTAGCAGGCACCTTGGCTGGAACCCGGTTCAGGCCACAGTAGCCCAGCTGATGCAGATTAACAATGATGTTGCTGGGAGCTGAGGGGTGGGCATACCTAGCCTTCCTCAGCCCAGCCCTGAATGCTCCTAAGCTGGTCTAGGTGTCTGAACAAAGACCTGCGTGCTGTGAGGGACCTTTCCAGTCTTCACACCCTTTGGGAGTCTCTCTTCTGGACAGAAAGCCTTGTATAAGGGCCTCATACTTATATCAGTTTAGGGATCTAAGACTCAAGAAGGTGCCCTTACCACAAAGGGTCAGAAATAACTCAGCGTTCCCATTTGGAAGTACTCTGAGCCCACGAAAAGAAGTTAACATCTAAACTATGAGTCTCAAGTTGTATTATGGAAAGTTGTCAAGTCATGTTACCCTTAGAGATAGTGGATGTCGCCTTTAAAGAACATACAGTTCTCTGCATGCAGAGTGGAAGGTGGTAGATTTTTAGCGCATCATGGGAAGGGATTTGGACAGGTACAACTACATTCTTTCCCAGTCACCGTGGTGACTCTAAGCACAAATCTGCCAAACAAGCAGTCAGCTCCTGAAATCTGATTCAGTGAGCATGCAGTCATGGCCCTGGCTTCCTGAGCAAAGTTTTCATAATTATCAACTCGTAATGCATCAACTCCCAATCCCTGGTCCATCTCATTTCATTCTGCCTCTCATACCCAGGAAGAAAAGTCCCCAAGTGAAAGTGCCTATGCCAGTAGTGTACCTAGCAATACAAGGTTATTCGAAATTTAAACCTATCTGGATGTTTATTCTGCCTTTCCATATTTCATAGGGCTTAAATGGATTTTTTAAAAATGCCCCTTATGAATGATAATACAAATCATAACAGCTTTTTAAATCAAGTTTCCAACTGGGGAGGGGACCATGCAAAGGAGTAATGAGTTCAGTGACAGCACATTCCAAACGAAGAGGTCAATTTTTCTTTATAAAACTGGATTTTAAAAGTTCCCCACCCCAGCAGCAGCAGGGCAGCTGGTCCTGAGGTCAGCTGTAGCTGGTTTTGTTGCTTTTCTGGAACTAAAATACAACTGAAGCCTAGATGTTATTTCTAGGGTGAAAGGTCAGGGGGTCCAAATTGCATGACCAGCAGATATGCTAGGAGGAGAAAAGAAAGGCTACCCTGGGGGCAAGGTCCCACCCTACAATTGTCTTTTGCTGGGTAAAGACAATCTACCTGCCCATTGTCCTTGCTCCGCAAATGTCTAGCTGCCTACCACATAATGAACTGCAAAAAATGACCTAAGTGATGTGAGATTAATGCCATCGGTACCTTTTTTTTCTATATTATTAATACACTAAGAGGCCCGATGAACGGATCGTGCACAGGCGGGGTCCCTCCGCCTGGCCTGCACGCTCTTGCAATCCGGGACGCCTCGGGGGATGTAGCAGTGCCAAATCAGCAGGCGGACGGGGAGGGGCCCCAGCCGGGGCCAGGCACAGCTCCAATGTCGCTCATCCTGGCCCCGCTGCGCCTGCCACCACCACTGCTCAATAGCGCTGCCGCTGAGGCGGGATAGGCTCCCACCCCGCAGCTGTGCTCGCCAGCCGTGAGCCCGGCTTCTGGTTGAGTGGTGCTCCCGCTCCCGCTGTGGGAGCGCACTGACCACCAGGGGGCAGCTCCTGCATTGAGCTTCTGACCCCTGGTGGTCAGTGTGCGCCATAGCAACCAGTCAACTGGTTGTTCTGGTTTTTCCAGTTGTAATGGTTGCTTAGGCTTTTATATATATAAATTATTTCTTCTCTCTCTCTCTTTTTCTTTTTTTAATGACTTTGTATTTTACTTTTGACTTTAAACTTCCACATCCTTTTTCTTTTTTCAACTTTCCTATTCACTTCCAGATCTCTTCTGTGTTGTTCCTTATAAACATAGGTCTATTCAACAAGTTACCTTGGAAATTGCAGCTAATATTTGTCTTCTCAAATTCAGAGATTTAATTTATATAGAAATTAAAATTTTCCATTGGATTAATGTAAAAAAAAAAAAGTTCACCACTCCCAATTCTGGCTTGCTGGAATGTCATCTGCTGTACTCACACAATACTTACTAATCCTTATAATTTTAATAAAAAGCACAATTATGTGAAGACAAAACTTCCAACATTCTACACTTCTATTTCTCCTTCATTTCTGTTTCTCAGTATCTAAAACTGAAGTCCTTCTTCTCTACCCTGAAGAGATTAACATTCCATTAATTCCCCTCCCCCATAGGTACTATATGTTATTGTCACTCCACAAATTCTAGGAAAATGCTGCCACTTATGGCTACTGATGAGCCTACCTTGATTGTTTCATATGTATCAGTGATCAGTGCAATGAAAAGACTTAAAATCATATATACAAAGAGGCTGATGAACGTGTAGAGGTAAAGTCTGCTAAATAGCCAGACCAAGTAACTTTTTTGGTGCATTCCTGCAAATGTCGCAAACATGTCATCTCCATTTATCAGAGAAAAAAGGCACTCGGAGACCAAGTTCAGAGAACGGAACTGAAAAAAAAAAAGAGAAAAATGCACTTTATTCCATGCTCCTTCCCCTGGGAGACTTCATTCATGACATCATATTAAAAACTAGTGGCCCGGTGCACTGATTCGTGCACATGGAAAGGAAATTAATTAAAAGAAATATTTTAATATCATTATTTGCCCTTTCTCTATAATAGAAGTATCAACCAAATTCATGATCAACAATGACAGCTAGAAACACACGTGCAATTTGCACCAGCAAGAACTTTATATGTATCATGCATTTGTGAATCAACTTAGCCTAATATGCAAATTGACTGAACTGTGGAATGACTGGTCACTATGACGTGCACTGGCCACCAGGGGGCAGACGCTCAACACAGGAGCTGCCCCCTGATGGTCATTGCGCTCCCACAGGGGGAGTGCTGCTCAGCCAGAAGCTGGGCTCACGGCTGGCAAGCGCAGCGGCGGTGGCGGGAGCCTCTCCTGCCTCTGTGGCAGCGCTAAGGATGTCCAACTGACAGTGTAGGCCCAGGGGAAATCAGGCCTAAGCCATCAGTCAGACATCCCCCAAGGGCTCCCAGACTGCAGGCCATGCTGAGGGACACCCCCAAGTGCATGAATTTCATGCACCAGGCTTCTAGTATAGAATAAACTTGCTTAATTAGACCTGCTTTCTGATTTTGCTAAACTTTTTCCAGCCCAGTGAAGCACCCCAACTTCTCTTTCAGGTAATTGTCAGCAACACAGCAGTAAATATCAATAAGAAGCAGATTATTACTGTAGATCATGCAGGGATCTACATGGTAAAATATTTAACTGCAGCAGTGTTTGACTGTATTCTGTGCAGTGAGAAAACCTGAAGTCATTTTCAAGGTCCACCATTTCTTACTTCTTTTCAGTGGGGTCAAGTTTCTCAACTTTATAAATCTCCATTTTCTGGCTACTGAAAATAGAATTCCACTGTGTCCCCTATCTACCTACTTCAGGACTTCTGTGAGGATCAAATGAGATGAGGCACGGGAAAACGCTTCACAGACATTTGGTTACAGTGTGAAATGTTTGCACCTGGCTATAAAGCAAGTTGTGTTCCTGGGATGAAGAAACTGCAAGGAGGCTAGTTGTCACTAGGGAGAGGAAGCCGCATGTTGCTATGTGACATCACTACCCAGCGCCCACAGCCACCATTTCCGGGGTGGGCTGGGCTGTGGGCTGCATTTTGTGCCATGGCAGTTTCGGCTGCAATTTGGTGGGCTGTCGCTCTGGGGTGGTGGCAGGGCCTGTGTCCCACTTGGGAGAAGCTGAGTGTTGCTTTGTCAGTGCCAGGTCCATGCTGCCGTTTCTCTGTAAATGGCCAGTGCACATCACAGCAGCTCCTGCGTTGAGCATCTGCCCCCTGGTGGTCAGTGCAGGTCATAGCAACTGGTCGGACAGGTGGAGGGACACTTAGCTTATTAGCCTAGTATACAGATAACTAGAGGCCTGGTGCACAAAATTCATGAACTGGGGGGAGGGATCCCTCAGCCCGGCCTGTGCCCTCCCGCAGTCCAGGACCCCTCGCTCCTTACTGCCTGCCTGCTTGCTGCTCCTTACCACTCAGCTTGCTGCTCCTTGGTGCTGCCGCTGACGTGGAGGTGGGAAAGGCTTCCGTCACCACCACTGCACTTGCCAGCGTGAGCCTGGCTTCTGGCTGAGCGGCACTCCCCCTGTGGGAGCGCACTGACCACCAGGGGGCAGCTCCTATGTTGAGTGTCTGCCCCCTGGTGGTCAGTGCGCGTCATAGTGGCCAGTCATTTTGCTGGTCATTCCGCTGTTTGGCCAATTTACATATTGGGCTTTTATTATATAGGATGTGGCCAGATATGCCAAGTTACCCTTTCAAACCAATAACCTGAAGTAACTACATGCATTTGCTTGGCGATACACACAACATGTACTGGCCTACTATTTTTCCTGGGACAGGCAGCTGCTTCACGATGCTCTGTTAATAGGAGCAGGCTGAACTGGAGGCAGAAAGGGTGTGGTCTCTGCCCTCAGGGGTTTTGTGAGACAAGCCTTATCCTCCCCTTTCCCTTCAAGGAAAGAGATCCTTGAAACACTCCTGAGAAACCCAGATCCCAACCATGCATGGTCATACTTCTCGTTTTAAAGTTCTTGCCACTTAAGATAACAGCATTCTAGTTAAGACTATAACTCCAGTAACAAATATTCCTACAAGTTTTCCCTATACTACTTTTTAAATAAAATCCCATTTTGAGACACCTTACCTAAACAGCCTAATATATACTGATGAATCAAACTGACGAAACTTTACTTCACTGGTGATAAACATGACTTAACTATTTGGCATACTCCACTAAAGAAACTGAGGATGTTGAATGAATCTTCTCTCGAGTTGGTCACCCCTTCCTGGTTTATACACATGGCAATAAATATACTGCCTTCAATATATGAAGGCTGAGTCACAACATAAAAGGAGTCCATTTGAAAGGAGGAAACGAGCCACTGGCACTCTTCTAAGAACTTCCTGGTCCCAAGGTGACTGGTTGTGGAGCAGTTACCTTTTCATGGTAAGGTCCCAGCACAATCCATCCACAGAAGCAATAGCCAAAATAGATCACAGCCGCACAGCAGCAGAACCTCATGACACTGGGCAGCGCTGCCTGAAGGGTCAGGATAAGGAGCTGAGAAAGTGAGAGAGCTCGTTAGCATCCTTTTGTCCTTCAGCCAAAGCCGCGCAATAACAGTGAAAGGGAGAAAGACCAGCAGCACTGAGAGCCTTGGAATGTCTTACATTGTACTTGTGGAAGAAACTGAGGTATCGGATGACGCCCAGCCACACGAGCAAGGTGGAGGTCCCGAGAAGTATGCTGCAGACGTCATAACTTGTTAGACTCTAAAACACAGTGGGGAAAAGGAATCAGAAACTCACATGAGCAGGAACTGTTTATTGGGCAGCTATGAGTTGGTCACTGTCCCAGGGGCTAAGGACAGAGCAGTGAACAGGCAAAATTTCCTACAATCATGAAGCTTCCCTCCTAATGAGGGGGGAGAGATGGCAGCAATACATTCATGAACACCTGATACATTAGCTGATGTGCAAAGGAGGAAATTCAGGAGAGGGGATAAGAAATGCGTAGGAGGTTGCATTTTAAGAAGGGTGATGAGGAAAGGTCTCACTGAAAAGAGGCAGCACTTGAGCAAAGACCTGGAGGGAGTGAGGAGCAAACCAACAAAATCAAGGGGAAGAGCTTTCCAGGCACAGGAGCCAGCAAGTGCCAAGGCCCCAAAGCAGGAGGGCACCTGGCAAGATAGTGAGTCTGGCTGGAGTGAGTGATGGGGATATGTATGAAGTCAGAGGTAAGGAGGCAGGTAGTTAGGGTCTCAGGGATAATTTAACGACTTTATATTTATTCTGAATAGGGGAGGGGGATTTGAGATCTCTGAACAGCAGTGATTTGATAAAATATTGGCTGCTATGGTTGAGCGCAGCTTGTTGGAGGAGTGAGAAGGCTGTTGCAATAATATAAGTGAGAGCTGATAGTGACTTAGTGGTGGAGATGATGAGGTAATTTTCGAAGGTAGATCAATAGGATTTCCTCTTGGATTCAAGGAGCTTGAGAGGGGATTAGTAAAAGAGAAGCGTCGAGGATGAATCAATGACTCTTGTCTTGAGCAACTGAAAATAGTTAGTATTTAACTGAACTTAGAAAGGAGAAGCAAGTTTGGACCATGGAGGTGGGGGATCTTAGGAATTCTGTTTTAGATATGTTACATTTGAGAGGACAAATAGACACTGGAGTGAAGTGTAGAATAGACAATTGGAAATGTGAGACGAGTTGAGGGCAGAATTCCAAGCTGGAAACACAAATGTGGAAATCACTGGCATGGAACAGAATGAGGTCACCAAGACAGTGGCAGAAAATAAAACATGTCCTGGTGCTACGCTTTGAAGTCGTCACTTTAATAGGTTGGCGAGATGAGAGGAAACTGGCGAAGGAAAGTCAGGAGACCAGCCCAAGATCTAGGAGGAACACCAGGAAAATGATACCCAGCAAAAAAAGTGCATCAACAAAGAGGGAGAATTGACGGTGTTAAAAGCTGAAGGGTAAATAATTGAAATAATGGATTATTGGACTTAGCAACATGGGAGATCCTTGGAAAGACACTTTCTGTGGAATGGCAGGCAGCCTGGTTGGAACAGATATGAGAGAGAATGGGAGGAACAGAATCAGAAACAAGATGAACTACTCTTTTGAGGTCTTTTGCCATATAAAGAGGAGCAGAAAATGAGGAAGTAACTTGGGGGGATGGGTTGATATTTTGTCTTTCTAGAAAGGAGAGAAAAACATACTGATGAGAATGACAGCATCGAGAGTGACAGCATCGAGAGTGGGATGATGTACAAGAAAAGGGAGAAGCGTGGGGGGAGCTGTGCCCTTAAGCAAGTGGGGACAGCATGTGGTCGGCATCTGGAGGAGTAGGACTTGGATAATAGCCTAAATAATAAATCCTCCATAACAGAAAACACGGGACATGTGGGCACTGATGCTGGTCGGTAGATAAATGAAGTGGGAGTTTGTGGAATTTTTACTTTTTTCCTATTGTTCTTATGAAATAGGAAATGAGGTCACCAGCTGAGAGTGGGGATGAGGCAGGGGAGTTAGAGGTTTCGGAAGAGAAGAAAACATGAAATTATCATTTATAAGATGGGGGTAGTGAGTGGTCTAGAAAAATGTGGAAAGGTTGTTGGGTGCCATTAAGAGCTTATTGAGGTTAAGGATAGTTGAGGTTGGTATAAATGAAGATTTACTGCAAATCTTCCCCCATCCCCCTCCCCCGAAGTTAAACTTCTATTCTGATGATTTATACAATAGCTATGACATGGTGGCAGCGGCCCCGTGTCAACGTAAACCTATTCTCTCCTTCTCTACTCCCCAGCACCACTTGCAGCTGGATGTGACTAAATTCTCTCCAGTGGAACGTGAACAGAAGTGAAGGCTACCACACTAGAGCCAAGGCTGTAAGACTGTGGGAGGGCTACCTCCAGACCAGACCAGACCGTGTTTTCCCTTCCACGGGCTGCAGCCTGTTGGTGAGATGACCCAACATCAATCATGTAGTCTGGGCAAGCCCATAATGGCTGGCAGAAAAACAAGATGGGAGAAACTTGGGTCCTTGCATGACTGCATGGAGCTGAGCAACCCACCAACCTGGAAAACCCACCCTGACTGTTACGTGAGGGAGAAATAAGCTCCTATCTTTTCGGAGCCATTGCATTTGGGGGTCTCTGCCCAGGAATCTGAATCACAACAGGCTTATACTCATATTTAGTTACAGCCAAGGTTGGAAAAGTGTAAATTTGAGCAAAATTAGTTTGAATAATATTAGATTTTTTTTAAATTTGATCTTTGCTTTGGAAGAGAGGGTTGATTTCTAGTCTGAGCAAACTCAGAATGGAAAGCGCTGTACCCATCAATGGGAAAGATAAGAATATATCAACATTCTCAATCTGAAGGAAAGAACTACAGCACTTACGTAGTCATAGCTTGGCCTCAGTCTGCACCCCTAGCCCTATTCTTTTTTTGTTGAAGATTCTAGGATTTCTTGTAAGAATAACTAAAAACACCTCTTGCCTTAGCTATCTTGGTGTGTTTATGAATTTTGGTATGTTTAAGAATACACAGGTCCCACCCCAGAGTTCAGATTCAGTAGGTGAAACGTGAGCATTTTTACCAGCTCCCCAAATGATTCTGAGGCCGACGTTTATGGATCACACTTTGAAAGACTCTGTCTAAAAGATTTCCTGACTAGATTTAAGAAAATTGTTGCTATCAATTCCAAGTTTAGTCAATGCAATGTTTGAAAGAAATCATTTACTCTACAAATTCTTACATTCTGGAAAAATAAATTACTATTAATGCAAAGCTGATACTAACAATGGCATAAAGAGGAAAAAAAGTTTACCTTGGCTTGGATTTCCATTTTCAGAATTGATCCAATGATTGTCAATAAGTCACTAATAATAATCATAATGTACCATCCATTGACAAATTCCATTCGATCAGAAACGGAAACCTCCTTCTTATAATGGAGGAGGAAAAAATTGACAAATTCCTTTAGGGGGAAGAGGGGAGGCACAGTGAGTTTCTCTGTTGATCAACATGGCTGTAACATTCCTAGAAAAGCAACAATCCCTACCTGTTGCAGCTGAATTCCTTTAATCACAGATCGAAAGCACAGGATTAAAGAAGTCAAGCACATCAGGATAACAAAGCCATCAAAGATCATCATGTAATGAGTGTTTCTCTGAACTGGAAGGAAAAGGATTACCTGTTTATGAAGTGGGACATTAATACAGTGACAGCTACTTTTTTTTCTTTTCATTTTTAGCCTCACTTATTTTAACTGCTGTGCTGCACACCAGTTATAGATATAAAACACAATAAAGGGCACTCAGATTGTAATCTGTTCTTCCCTACTGGGAACAATTCTTCAAGTCCTCTTTATACTTGGGGGGATAATAAGTATTTTTTAAGTAAGGAGTGGACCAATGAAGGCAGGTGGAGAAGGCAGGAAAAGTCATTTAAGTTATTAATAATTTATGTATTACTGGGAACATCAGATAACTACAATGAATTGACCTACTTGCAGAGAACTAGAGACTCGGAAGTAGTACAATTAGTACAATTCTTTCATTCGATGCTCCACCTATCCATGAGACCAGTAATTTAATAACCATTTTGGAAAACAAGTAAAATGTATCAGTTACCTGATCCAGAAACATGCCAGTCTTTACATTCTCGGATGGAAATGTCATTATCTAAACTTATCTTAATTCTTCCACTGTGGGCTTTATTGTCAAATGTGATCTGCAAAGAAAAAGAAAAAGGATCAAAAACATACCTGTAGTATTTGAAGCCAAGGTGCCTCCAAGCATTAATTAGGAAACAATTCTTTCGGTGCGAGAGGAGACCCAGCGTCTCATCCCTGCCCTATTGCTAACTCTGTTCAACCTTGGTAAGTTCACTTTATTTCTCTGTAAAATGAAAAGTTTGAACTACATCTTCTACAGAGAACTTTCAGCCTCTAAAGTCCTATCTGCTAGGACAGTATTCCAGCCCTGGGAACTTCTAAAACAAGAGAACTTCCCCACCTTCCCATTCTAAGTACCTCCATATGCCCTCTTGATATGAGCAAGGGCTGGTACAAAGCTTCCAGTCATAAAATAAATCAGCCATGGAGAGGTAGTGTACAGCACAGGAAATAGAGTTAATAATATTGCAATAACTTTGCATGGTGACAGATGGCTACCAGGCTTGGTGTGGTGATCACCTCGTAGGGTACATGAATGTTGAATCACTGTTTTGCACACCGGAAACTAATATTATGTGCCAACTACACTTTAATAATTTTTTTAAAAGCTCGTAAAAGTGTGCTTTCCCCCCACCTTCCAGTAGTTCTTCCGCTAGGAATAGATTTTTAGCACATTACAATTCTTCCTAACACAAGAGCTTCATTTTTCTGTCTCGAAACATTTTAAGTGAAACTCTAAAATTTTCTTTCTGGATCTAGATTTCTTAGTCATTCTAGAACCATGTGTACTGCCAAGAATGTGGCCCCAGGGAATCGACAGCCACTTCTTGCCTCAAGGATTACTATTCAGGACACAGGCACAGAGCCGGACAAAGCCACGCCAGAACACCTTCCAGAGCCCTTCTCTGTTTCCCCTCTAGCTTCCTCCACTTTCCCCATGAAGAGACCATCTGTCTTTTTGTTGCTGTTGTTTTTTAAGAGCCTTCTCACTCAAGTTCTTTTAAAAATCTGTCATTTAAATGATTTTTTAAAAATATATTTTTATTGATTTCAGAGAAGAATGGAGAGGGATAGAAAAATCAATGATGGGAATCATTGATTGGCTGCCTCCTACATGCCCCCTACTGGGGATCCAGCCAGCAACCTGGACATGTACCCTGAACAGGAATCGAACTGTGACCTCCTGGTTTGGAGGTCGTCGCTCAAGCACTGACGCCAGCCAGGTCATTTAAATGAGTTTTATTGCACCTTCTTCATGTGGGATAATCAGATATCACTTCAAATATAAGATGTCAAATAAATGTATTTAACAAAGTCTGGTCGCTTTGTCTCCTCATGCTGGATTGTAAGCTTCTTTCCTTGACAAGCAACTCCGGCCATTGTCCGTGTCTGTCCATCTCCATGGCTGCTGGGGGACCCAGCCCACAACCTCACTCAAGGAAGATGTTCAGTATTACTTGAATGAGTTCCACTTGCAAAAGGGAAACCATGTTTTCCCACAAAAGAGTCTTAGGGTTTTAGCAACATTAGGTGCTAACTAAACATCTGTTGAGTAAATACACTTTGGTTTCATGTTAATCATATCTTAGTAAGGTTTAGAAGAATCTGAATTCTTTAAGCAAAGAAGAAAAATTAGTGGATGGGATTCACAACATATTAGATAGTACAGGGGAAAATATTAGTGGATTTGAAGACACAGCAATAGAAATTAATGAAACACAGAAGAAAAAAGACTAAAAAATGAAACAAAAAAAAGAGAGCATTAATGAGCTGTGGGACAACTTCAAGTGCCAAAATACACATGTAATTAGAATCTCTGAACAGTGAGTGAGGGGAGAAACAGAAAAATATTTCAAGAACTAATGCTGAGTAAATGTCAAATATAATGAAAATTATAAACCCACAGAACCAAAATGTTCAATGAATACCATACACAAGAAATATAAAGAAAACACCAAGGAGTGTCACTATCAAATTGTTAAAACCTGATATAAAGATAAAAATGTAGAAACAGCTGGGGTTGGGGCGGGGGGAGAAACACATCCCATAAAGAAGAACAACGATGAAGATGACAGCAGATTTCTCATCAGAAACAATGCCAGCTAGAAGAGCAGAGTCTTTAAAGTACAGAGGGGGGAAAACAAAACAGAATTCTATATCCACTGGAACTTCTTTTAAGAATGAGGGTGAAGCCCTGGCTGGTTAGCTCAGTTGGTTAGAGCATCATCCCAATATACCAAGGTTGCAGGTTCAAGCCCCGGTCGGGGCACATACAAGAATCAACCAATGAATGCGTAAATAAGTGGGACAACAAGTGTCTCTCTCTCTCTCTTTCTCTCTTTCTCTCTTTTCCCCTCTCTAAAAATCATCAATAAATAAATACATTTAAAAATTAATATTTAAATATGAGTAAAAACAAAGGTAAAATACTTTTTCAGACCTAGAAAAGCTGAGAGAATTCATCACCAGGCCTGCACTACAAGAAATGTTAAAAGAGGCCCTTCAGGCAGAAGGAAAATGATGCCAGATGGGAACCTGGAGTTACACAAAGGAATGAAGCACACTGGAAATGGTAACTAGGTGGGAAAATATAAATACTGTTTTCTTATTATTTAATTGGCTTCAAAAGATAATTGACTATTTAAAGCAAAAATGATAATACATCAAGTATTTGATAACACATCTGGACAGTAACAATAACGTAAAGGCCAAGATTAGAGAAATGGAAATATAGGGATGGGCAAAAGTAGGCTTACAGCTCTGACTACACAAAACACAGAATTTATGCTTGTATTATTATTTATGTATTTATTATTATATTATTTATTATTATTATAACCTACTTTTGCCCACCCCTGTATATTGTTGTTAGGTTTTATTTTTTTAAATATATTCTTATTGATTTTAGAGAGAGGAAGGCAGAGGGAGAGAAAGATAGAAACACTGATGAGAGAGAAACATCTATTGGTTGCCTTCTGCACACCACCTCCCGGGGATCAGGCCACAATCTGATTCCAGCCATGTGCCCAGACCTGGAATCCAACCAGACCTGGAATCAACCACTGAGCAGTGTTGGCCAGGCAGTGATTAGATTTTTATACTATTCATGTAGTGGTATATCATCTGAATGTAGAGTGTCATAAGTGAAATATGTGCATTATACACTCTAAAATAATATAACAGAGTTATAGCTAATAAGCTAACAAATGAGATACTTCATAATGATAAAAAAGTCAGTTCAACTGAACGAAAGAATCCTAGATATTTATACACCTAATAAAGAGCTTCAACAGAGAAAGACAAGTATCACATGATCTCATATGTGGAAAATAATGAACAAAATAAACTGATAAACAAAATAGACCCAGAGACATCGAAGCATCCAACAGACTGACATATTTCAGAGGGAAGTGGGGAGAGGTGGGGAAGAGATTAACCAAAGAACTTATATGTATATAAGCATAACCCTTGGACACAGTTAATAAATAGTGCAGTGAAGGCCTGGGGAGGGGGCAGGAGCAGAGCAGAGGGGCTCAATGGGGGAAAGGGGGGATAGCTGTAATACTTTCAACAATCAAGACACATTTTTTAAAAAGAGCTTCAAAATACATGATGCAATAATTTATGAATAAATATTAATGTACTACTTCTACATTATAAACCCATCCGGGCACACACAGAAAAGGTTGAATAAATAGCTGTTGAATGAATATACTATATACCAGATTCTTAGGTAGGTCCTTTATATATCTTATCTTCTATCTTGACAACAACTTTGTGCAGTAGGTAGGCATTAATTTCATTTAACAAATGAGAAAACTGAAGCTCAAACCAATTAAATATTTTCCCTAAAGTTGCATAGTTACTGATGGCCACAGTCTGGCAGCAGAGGCTCGGTGCAGGAGTCCCGTGTGTGTGTGCGTGTGCGTGTGCGTGTGTGTGTGTGTGTGTCCAGTGGTGGTCTGCTCCCAGCCACACCTTGGAGGCTTGGAGCAGGCACCCCTCTCTGTTGATCTCTCAGGCTCCTGGCCTCCACTGCATGTTGTGCTCTTCCTTGAGCTGTGGCCAGGGTGGGGCGCCCTTTCCTGCTGTGGGATCGCATCGGGGATTTCATGGGCAGGCAGGTGCACACAGGGGCTGGCTGCAGGCCACCCTTTCCTGCTGTAGGATCGCCGAGGCGACCCAGGGGCAGGCACACACAGGGCTGCAGGCCGCCCTTTCCTGCTCCGTGATCACCGCAGCGATCCCACAGGCAGGCGCAAAGGGGGGCTGGCTGCAGGCCCCCCTTTCCTGCTCCATGATCTCCGGGGCAATCCCATGGGCAGGCGCACACAGGGGCTGGCTAGAGGCCACACTTTCCTGCTCGGGGATCGCAGTGGCGACCCAGGGGCAGGCGCACACAGGGGCTGGCTGAAGGCCACCCTTTCCTGCTCTGTGATAGCCGCAGTGATCCCACGTGCAGGTGCACACGGAGGCTGCCTGCAGCCCCCCCTTTCCTGCTGTGGGATCCCATCCGCGATCCCATGGGCAGTCAGGTGCACAGGGGGTCTGGCTGCAGGCCGCCCTTTCCTGCTGCAGGATCTCTGGTAACTCATCCCTGGCAGGGGCCGCCAGGGAAGAGGCGGGCGCCTGCCTCTTCCCTGCCCCCCTCGGGCTTCTCCGATCACCGGCAGGGGGGCGGGCAAAGGCAGCCGGTTCTCCGATCCAGGGCCAGGGGCAGTGCCTCCCGGCTCTTGCTTGCTGCTTGTGTTTCCAATCACCATCCTTCCCCTATGGCCTCCCATCATTGCCCCTTTGTATGCAAATTAACCGCCATCTTGGTTGGCAGTTAATTAGCATATTGCCCTGATTAGCCAATGGGAAGGGTAGCGGTTGTATGCTAATTACCATGTTTCTCTTTTATTAGATAGGATTACTACATTAGACTATGTTCTGAACATTTTTTTAACCTCAATCTCTGATAACTTGATTTCTTTTTTAAAAATAATTCTTTACTGTTGAAAGTATTACATATATTTCTTTTTTCCCCCTTAACCCCCCTCCAGCCTGCCCCTTCCCCTGACCCCAGATCTTCAGCACCCTATTGTCTGTGTCCATGGGCCATGCTTATGTGCATACAAGGTCTTTGATTGATTACCTCCCACCCACCCACCCTCCCCCACCGTCCCTCTGAGATTCCACAATCTGTTACATGCATCCATGTCTCTGGATCCACTCTGTACAACAGTTTATTTTGTTACTTAGATTCTACATATAAGTGAGATCATGTGATACTTATCTTTTTCTGATCACTTAGCTTGATACTCTCCAGGTCCCTCCATGCTATGAGAACTTGATTTCTTACAGCCAATTATTTGAGTACTGAGGAAATAGCTTTTGATACAGACTACTACTGAAGTAACAGAAATTTGTATCAGATGAAGGCAAGTTGTATACGATGCTTTCCTGCATATGACCAGCCAGTATTGGGTTACTGACTCTGATCCTCGTGAGGTGACAGACTCACATGAGAGGCGTCTTGTGCTCTCTAGAGAGCATTAATAGCTCCATTTACAACTGAGTGTGGAGAACATGGACGTGATAGGGTGGGCTGAAGGGGGAGAAACTCGCCAGAGCATTCAGAGGCAGCACAAGGAAGGCACTGTGAGCAATAACCAAAGGTTACAAACATTCATTCATGGAGAGGAAACTCAGTTAGCAAGAACCCTTGACAAGGACTTAAGCACACAGCCACGACTGCTAGACGCTGAACCTACAAAACTCTTCTCCTTTTGTACTTGAACACCTACCCTGTGCCAGACACTTGCCTTGGTACTAAAGACACAACCACGAACAAGACAAGGTCCCTGCCCTCATAGAACTTAGGTTGGAGTACAAAAGAAAGATAATTAATTAACAAGTAAACAAGTTATTGTAACAAAATAGAGCCAGTTGTTCCAACACCCCCCTTACGCCCATTCAAGCCGAAACATCCTATATATTTGACCATGCCTTAATGCAAGTAGATGAAACATATAAGTAGATAAAACACTTTTCTCCAGACTGGAACCAAATCAGCCCAGCCCGTACTTACAGTCAGAGTGAAGTCGTAACAGTCGGGGAGCTCGTGATGACGAATAGTCTGCAGATTAATGGCCTTCAGTTTAAACATCAGCTCCACTGTTAGGAGTCTAGGAAACAGAAGAGACTTCAGTGCAGTGAAAACACACTCACAAACATGAGTCACGCTCCCGCCTGCCTCCCTCACCTGTGGAAGTCCAGTGTTAGGTTTAGTTTATTTTCTTCTGGTGTTCCAATGTAAAAAGATTCATCTGGCTCCACGGAGAAACATTCTGCCACAGAAAGGAACAAAACATAATACTGCGGCCAAAATACATAAAACTACATCTTGGAAAGATAATATAGATATTCAAAACTAAATATTCAGATTCTAGTACTTTTCTGAATTAAGATTTTAAAGGGTAGATATCTATACCGACCTCTTGGTTACAATGACTCATTTGTTTTTAAGACATAAGTGGCTACATTTCTGCAGTGGGTGGGAGTGGAAAAAGTTCTGAACCCGATCTCATTAGTCTTCTATAGAATGCTATCTTCCCTCCTGGCCTTTAAACCTAAACTTGGAGACCTTCCTCCCTTCTTTTTTTTTTTTTTTTTTTTTTTTTTTAATTGTATCTAAACAGGTTTGAAGCACTTGCAGTGTCAAAGAAAAAATTTTTCTAAGCATAAAGGATCTACTTTTTTAATATTATGTGTTGACTATTTTTCCTCAATCAGCATTTTTAAAGGAAAATAGCATCTTAGAAGGTTTTCACTAATCAGTACTATAATATTTTACTATTCCTCTCCCCAAAAAAGTCCCAGTCACTATTGATGAAAGCATTCAAATATGTTTTATTCTTTTTATTAAATGACAGAGGTGACATTAATGAATAAGATTAATACCTATTTTTTAACATTTAGTCCTGAGCTAATGTTTCAGGTACAATTTGCAGGTAACACTTTGCTAATAAGAATAAGCTGTGCTCTTCTTAATTCCGGCTCTCATTCCTACCCTAGCCCTCCCCCCCCCCCCCCACCTTCCACCCCTGTAGATACTGAATAGTGAGATGCTAGTAAAGAGAGGGAGCTGGACACACATCAAGCATAATTTTTTGTAAGGAAAATATCTGCCTATTTAATGAGCTAATCCAGCATGAGAGGCCGTGGAATATAGTGCTTAAGAGCCCAGACAGCCTGGGTCAGATTTCAGCTCTGCCGCTTACTAGCTCCACCTTGAGCAGATCCCTTACCTCTCTGCGCCATACTGTAGTCTTCCATAAAACGGTAATAATAATAATAATAATAATAATAATAATAATAATAATAAACCGTGGGACAGTACCTGCCTGACACGCAACTTTTATATGGTTTGTCAGATGACCTATTAATTAGCACAGGCCAAATCAACGTCTTCAGAGATGAAATTACTGATTTAAAAGATAAATCAAGGAATGGAAAGTGGAAGTTCCAGCATATAGAAGAGCATTACCAGTTTCAATTTGGGGATCAATGTCAAAGGTATCGTTTCCAGGACAGATGTTTCCTTGCTTGTAGAAGTACTGGCAGATCGCCATACCGGACTGCTCCGCGCCCTGATCCTCATAAGCGTGGTTCCCGACTGAGATGTTGCGTAGCTGCAAGTACTTCAAGCAAAAAGAGAAACAGAAAGTGGGAATGCCAGCCAGGGCAGAAGTGAAGCCATGATCCCGCTCCCTCCGTGGCTTTGAAACTGGCAGGCCCCCACCTCTGCTCTGGGTGGAGACCCTCCCACGGACACGCAGAGTAACCTGGACTGCGCCCCGGGCAGCAGGGGGCGAAGAGCACTTGAGAATGTGAGTTCTGAGTTCGGGTGTCAAATCCATGACCTCAGACAAATCACAAACTTTTCGGAGCTTCTGGTTCCTTACCCGCCAAATTAAAGGCTTAAACTGCATAGTCTTCTTTCCTCCTTTAAAGAACTATGTTCAGGAACTGGCTTTTACATTGAGTGTGAATACAAATTTATTTTATCTTAGACCTACATCCTGTATGGTCAGAGTTTTGCTTCACTACTGCAATACAGGAAGAGGGATATAATTGTTCCAGGCTAACTAGCAAAATTTTTTGTTTAAAAAATATCTTTTTAATATTTATTTTTGTAAGAATATAGTCATTTTCATAGCAATAATCCCCCGTCCTGGCGAATCCTCTAAAAACAGTGGTCGGCAAACTGCGGCTCGCGAGCCACATGCGGCTCTTTGGCCCCTTGAGTGTGGCTCTTCCACAAAATACCATGTGCGGGCGCGCACGTACAGTGCGATTGAAACTTCGTGGCCCATGTGCAGAAGTCCGTATTTTGTGGAAGAGCCACACTCAAGGGGCCAAAGAGCCACATGTGGCTTGCGAGCCGCAGTTTGCGGACCACTGCTCTAAAACAAAATGTGACTTTTACAAATGAGAATCACATGGTATTTTGGAATAACTGTCCACTTAAACCTCTTAGTGGATTTCTGTGGATGAAAAACACAAAATGAAGGGTTTCAGAGCTTATTTTGAACAATGTCGCTTGCACAATTAGTGATACAAAGATAAGGATATGGTATCTGTCTCTTGGAATTAATAATTTAGTGGGATAGACACAGATAAATAATCCTACTAAAGGATGCCTGTGAAACATGCTGTGATCATTGAAGGGAATGATTGATAATATGGGCCCATGGAATTGATTCTGAGCTGGGCCTGAGCTGGTGAAGGCAGCACGTTACCAAATGCAACACTTAGTTCCCAGTTCTCAGTGCTTCTTGCCTGGTTGTCAGTCCTCACCTAATGTAACTTCTCCACGGTGCTTGGTGCAGGTGGGTGCTTTCCCCTTCATGCGATACTTTCCCCACTTGTCTTCTGGGACCCAGGCTGCTCCTCTCAGTCTCCTTAGAGACTGAATCTCCTCTTCCCAACCTCTACATCTCAGGGTGCCTTGCATTCAGTCTTCAACCTCTTTCACCACATCCTCTCCATGGGTGATCTCGGGCAGTCCCATGTTTTATATACCATCTATATGCTGATGACTTCCTAATTTATCTCTCCAGCCCTGCCCTCTCCACTAGATTCCATATACAAGTGGGTAGCAATCTACGTGTGGTGTCTAAGAGAAATCTTAATCATGGATGGACAAACAGGTAAAATTGTCTCTTTCTACAATAATTTTCTTCTTCATAAACAACTCCGTAAGTCAATCACTTTCCAGACAAGACTTGGAAATGATCCTTTAGTCTTCTTCTCTCATACTCAATTTCCAATCCATCAGAAAATCATGCATTACTTTCCAATTATATCCCAAACCTGACCACTTCTCATTACCTTCACTGCTATCACCCTCCTCCATCATGTCCCACCTGGTTAACCTGACTTTCCTGCTTCCAATCCAGACTCTCACCACAGTCTGGTCTTTGTAAAGAAATCATAGGGCTGTTACAAATATTTCCTTACCACAGTCACAAAGAGGAAGTGAATTAAGGCACGTAAAACCCTTAGAATAGTGACACCTAAGACATGAACCTGTTTGAGACTCTGTTGCTTCTCCCTGGAAGCTTCTTCCTTGAGATCACCATGGGCTGCCTCACTGCTCTTTAGACTGCTCTCTGCTCACCTGTATCACCTTCTCAGAGAAGCCTTCCCTCACCATCTCCACCCTTTCACTCTGCCTGCTTTTTTTGTTTGTTTTACCTTAAACAAATAACCAACTGACAGTTGATATTTATTTATTTACTAGAGGCCCAGTGCACAAAATTCATGCATGGCAGGGGGTGGGGGTCCCTCAGCCCAGCCTGTGCCCTCTTGCAATCCAGGAATCCCTGGGGGATGTCTGACTGCCACTGAGGTGGGAGAGGCTCCCACTGCTGCTGCACTTGCCAGCCATGAGCCCGGCTTCTGGCTGAGCGGCGCTCCCCCTATGGGAGCACACTGACCACCAAGGAAAGCTCCTGCATTGAGCATCTGCCCCCTGGTGGTCATTGCACATCATAGCAACTGGTCATTCTGCCATTTGGTCAATTTGCATATTAGCCTTTTATTATATAGTATTAGAGAGGCCCGGTGCACAATTTTGTGCATGGGGGTGTGTGTCCCTCAGCCCAGCCTGCACCCTCTCCAATCTGGGACCCCTCAGATTGCAGGGTGTCCTGGGTGAGGGGCTAAGGGCCGTTTTCAGGCTGGCCATGCCCCCCCAGTGGGGACCCTCACCCCGGTGGTGGCGTGGCCAGCCTGAGTGAGGGGCTGAGGGCCATTTGCAGGGCCCTCCTTCAGCAGCCGGCCAGGGCAGGCAGGAAGTTTGGGTTGCCCCTGGTGACCCAAGGCTCCCACACACTCGGGCCAGCTCCGTGGCCGCCACCCACAAGTCCCTCCTTCAGAGGCCGGCCAGGGTGGGCAGGAAGCTTGGCTTCATCTGTCGCTGGGGGTGACCCAAGCCTCTCGCCTGCTCCGGCTGGCTCCATGGCCACTGCCATCTTTATCCCACTTATTTGCATACTCACTCCTGATTGGCTGGTGGGCATTCTGAAGTGATGGTTAATTTACATATTTCTCTTTAATTGGAGCAGATTGCTGTTCTCTTCCTATTAGAATATGACCTTCTTGACTTTGTCTGTGTGTTCACTACTGTATTTATGCAGCAAAAACAATATCTGATACATAACAGATGCTAGAATTTTGAGGGAATAAATCTTAGCCTTTGCTAGTGTATGTTAAGAGTCTCTCCCTCCTTCCATGGCTTCCTGGCTCTCTCAGAGTAAACTTCATAGCTCCTTTCCTGGCCCAGTCACACTTGCCTCCTTTGCGTTTTCCTGAAACTTAGTGCTTCCTGGTCGGCAGGGCCTTGGCTGTTGCTACCCGTTCAGCCTGAAATATTTTTCCTCACACTGTAAGTCCTCAGAGAGGCCTTTTCTGACTGCCCTGTACTATTAATGCCTTTTGCTACTTTATTTTACTTCACAGCACTCATCACTATATAAAATCAAATAATTTTGGTTAAACTTGTTTAAAAGCCATCTTTTCCATTAGAATGTAAATTCCACAGGGCTAGGAATTTATCAAGTCCTCCGCTCTAACCCCAGTACTTAGAACAGTATTAGGCCTGGAATAGGTGTCAAACAAATAGTGAGGTAAAATATTACTATAATGCTGCAGTGGCTCTTCATTTCCTAGAGCTAATCTATGCACAGTAAACCATCCTATATTATAAAAGGGTAATATGCAAATCAACTGAATGGTGGAACGACCTGTCGCTATGACACGCACTGACCACTAGGGGGCAGACACTCAATGCAGGAGCTGCCCCCTGGTGGTCAGTGTGCTCCCACAGGGGGAGTGCTGCTCAGCCACAAGCCGGGCTGACAGCTGGCAAGCATAGCAGAAGTAGGGGGAAGCCTCTCTTGCCTCCACAGCAGCACTAGGGACGTCAGACGGACATCCCCCGAGGGCTCTTGGACTGCTAAAGGGTGTATCTGGGCTGAGGGACCCCCCTCCCACCACCACCAGTGCGCGAATGTCATGCACCAGGCTTCTAGTTAAATAATGTGTGATTAGGGTATTGAGATTGGGAAAATGAGCCAAAAGTCTATGATAATGGAAGTGGCATAAATTATTAAATAGCATGATGTCTTACATATAAGGGGAAATAGTGTAATGCTGGAGATATTCCATTTTGAGATTTTTGTTTTCTATTCAAGGAAATGGTGTATTCATTAAGTCTTTCTAAAGCCACTCTGAGCCAAATGGTAGTTTTATAAGGGGGATAGGAGAGCAGGGAGGGCATAAGAGATTAAAAATTCCTTTCCATGAAAAAGAAGGTAAAAGATATTGAGGGCGGGAATCTATTTCAGGCACATCAAGAGAAGGCAAGGTTCTTTGGAAAAGACAATAATGCTAGGAAAACAGAGGCAGCAGGAAGAGAGAAAGAACAAATAGGAGAAGGACTAACTCCATAAAAGAAGCCATAGGCTTGAGTCTACAGGAGCTGAGCAGGGCTGTTGAGGACAGGACATTGTGGACGTCACTCATTACATTGGGGACTGCCCAAATGTAAGGGGCAGATGAAAGAAAGGAACCCAGTAAAGATGACCCACAATTGGTTGAGGAAAGCCAAGGTATCATTTAAAACAAAATAACTAGTGTACTGACATTCAAATATATGAGCATATATAATAAACAAAGGTGATGTTATAACCAGCATTGGATCAGAATGAGCCTAGAGATGGTCTACTTAGAGGACATCTGGGGGCTAATCCCTTCGGGATAAGTAATTAGTCATGGAAATACCTTTAAGAGCCGAGAAGCCACCGTCCCATCTGTCAGTTCCCCTCAGGGACTATCATCTCAACTATCAGGATATCTCCTTACAACAAACAAAGCTCCTTCTTTAACACCAGTCCATACTGTCCCTTTTCAGTTATCTGGAGCCAGATAGAACGACTGGCCTCATTAACCACAAAAACCCTAGTTATTCATGGAAATTATGATCAAGGTATTTTTATCTTCAGCTACTAGTAAAAATGCCTGATAGTTGCTTGGAAGATGGAAAGCAATCATTTGCCTAAGGTAAACCACCCCAATTATTATTTTCTACTTACATATTAGAGTAAGGAATCTACATGCAGTTCTATAAAGAATGTAGAAATCTGATAAATAGAATGGCCTGAATGCCAAATAGTACTGTATTTTTATAAATATATTTTTATTTGTTTAAGAGAGGGAGGAAAAGGAAGAGATAGAAACATCAATCATGAGAGGGAATCATTGATCGGCTGTGTCCTACACGCCCCACACTGAGGATAGAGCCCACAATCCAGGCATGTGCCCTGACTGGGAATTGAACTATGACCTCCTGGTTCATAGGTCAATGCTCAACCACTGAGCCATGCTGGCCCCAGGCCAAGTAGTACTATATTTTCAAAACTAAGTTTAAGTCTACTAATTAAGGTAAATACATTTTAGGAGGAACTTTAATGAACTATTTACTTCTGGCCTCTATCCCCCCTGCCCAAAAAAACACACAAAACAAAGAAACTACCAATTTGGTTCAAAACAGCTTTAAAGAAACTTAATAAGCTTAAAACAAAAATCTCAAAACTGAATATTTCCAGCACCATATATTTTTTCCTTACAAATTGTAGGACATAATTCTGTTTAACAACGTATACAGTTTACTTCTATTACTGTAGATTTGGGGGCAATTCTTGCAATCAGAATGCTAACAGAAAGCTTTGGTGTCGTAATTACATATCCCATCTTAGCAATTTATCATTTCAGTGTGCAGAGATTATCTCTAGATAATGAAGAGACATGGTTGCATTATAACAATTGTTTGGAGGAGAGTTGTAATAATTTTGAAACTAAGCCAGCTTGGAAATACTGAATTTAAGAACACTCCAGCCCTAGCCCGTTTTGCTCAGTGGGTAGAGCATCAGCCTACGGACCGAAGGGTCCTGGGTTCAAATCTGGTCAAGGACAAGTACCTGACGGGATCCTGGTGGGGGCTCATACAGGAGGCAACCAATCCATGTGTTTCTCTCACATTGATATTTCTCTCCGCCTTTCCCTCTCTCTAAAAATCAATGGAAAAATGTCCTCAGATGAGGATTTTTTTTTTTTTTTTTAAAAAGAACACTTTCAATGATACCTACCAAATAAGAGATTTAGGATCTTGAGAAAGTACTATTTATAGCAAAATCAAATTGATTACAAATGCAGAATAGGAATTTGACTCATCTGGATGAAATACAAGCTTACTTTTTTGGCAGTTAATCCGTGTCACAATAAGATCATTGTCATGCATGACATAAAGGCCTTAGTTATTTTTTAAGTGAACTTTCAGGTCTTGGTTGCTATATATACTTTGCAAAGTGAACATTCTCATTAAGTATTAAGGGCCTCTGAAACTATAAACTCTGAGGACTTAATGACTACTTACTACCAGCGTCGTGGTTAATAATTTTAAACCTTTGAGGCTCTCATACAAGCCCTAGTTTGATTCTTTTAATTAAGTCTTTCAAGTTTCTGTCTCTGTGTTACTGACCAAAAACTCTTCTTAATTTATAGTTTTGTAAAAGTTTGTTGGCAATATTTTAAAAACATTTTAAAAATTATCTTATACATGCCATTTATACATTACAGAAATGTTCACCCTTCTCCATCTGAATGTCAGTCTCTATTATGTACATTGCTAACTGTTTTTTCAGTCTGTTCTTTCTCCCAAGTAAAGAATGCACATGCACCCCTGACAGAGGAAAATCAAGCCAATTCCATTAAAGTATCTATCATTAAAAAAAAAAAAGCCATGCTTGATTTACCTGGTTCACTGCGAAGATGATCTGACTGTATACATCACTCTGTGTGTAAACTGCATAGGTGTCATCCGCTTGGTCCACATATCCTTTTAGGAAGAGGTGTTTGAATGCTATAGTGTTATCTTCCTTGAAAGCTACCACCATCTGGTTACTTAGCCCAAAAAAGACCAGCTTAAGGGGGGAAAAAGGAAAAAGTTAGAGGGTGAAAAAGCATCAAAATAAAGGTCTCCATATAATAATCAATTTATCTATTCAAGAAGCAGTGTCTAATTAATCCTGAATATGTCCCATAGAAATTAATCTTTGGTAGCTATGAATTAATTTGTCCTTAAAGATAAGGTAGGTTTCTAGTTCTAAGGTAAAAGGAAGTGGTTTTGCATCTTTTCAACATTTTTTTTTTAACGTCTGATGTCATTTATGGCATTGCTCCCATCGAAAGCTTCAGGAGTTCAGGTAAGTCCTTCAGGAGTTCTTCAGGTGTTCAGAGGAGCAAGGTCACTTTTTGGCTACAACATAGGGAGGTTCACTTAAAGAAAGCATGATAGAAACCCTGAAGTATGTGCAGAACTTGGGCAAAGGACATTTGAGGAGCTAAGAAGGAAGCCCAGAATTTAGCACTTTGAAAGGACATAATTCAAGTAGAGGAACATTGAGAAGAAACATTAGCAGAAGAAATGGTGTAGGGGCCTGAACAGCAAGTGGAAGAGTGTAATACTGAATTCTGTAAGACATCAAAAAGGTCTTGAAGAAGGTATATAATGTAATGTAAGAAATACCTTAAATAAGTCAAAGTCTTACAATCAAACTATATTCCTAGGTCTAATTACCAGAACTGTGACAATAAGACCCAATATAAAAGTACTCTTTCAACTTATCTCTAAAGTATATTAATATAACATATCCTTAATGTTCACGCAGGATTGACCCACATGAAACCAGTTGTTCACACGCAAAAAAAGGCTGTTTACCTGAACTGCTGTCATGGTAACATAAAGTCTGTCAATCATATCCCAAACCTTACTTTGCTTCAAGTCTTTCACCTTCTCTTCCCTCCCAAACCACCTTAATCTATCTCTATTTCATACACACACACACACACACACACACACACACACACACACGTGCGTGCACTCGCGCCCGCGCATGACATAAAGGCCTTACTTATTTTTTAAGTGAATTTTCTAAAGTATGTGTAGTTTAGAACATGCATTCTGACTTCGATCCCAGAATGAGGCAGGGTGTATTGTATATGGAAAAGGGAAGAACACTGAGCACCTATGGGCCATTACTCTATTCCAGCAACTTTCCTCACTCTAATCCTATAGTGTAGTTCAGTGATGGCGAACCTTTTGAGCTCGGCGTGTCAGCATTTTGAAAAACCCTAACTTAACTCTGGTGCCGTGTCACATATAGAAATTTTTTGATATTTGCAACCATAGTAAAACAAAGATTTATATTTTTTATATTTATTTTATATATTTAAATGCCATTTAACAAAGAAAAATCAACCAAAAAAATGAGTTCCCGTGTTACCTCTGACATGCGTGTCATAGGTTCGCCATCACTGGTATAGTTCCTAATGTACCTATTTTACAAGATGAGTTCAGAGAAGCTCAATAATTTTCCAAGTCAAATTACCCAAAAGTGTATAGTTAAAATTGGAGCCATCTAACAGACTAAATCCAAGCTGCACAACCCAGGTTCTGATCAGGAAAAATAGAGTAGCCAAGTCTTTTCCCCTTCATTCTCCCTTTGTAGATGTATGCTTATACCCTACACATGTCATCTCTCTCCACCTAACTCAACCCCATCACTGAAGAGCCTCTTTCAGCTCAAAGTCCTACTTAAATCCCAATAAGATATTCCAGGGATTTCACATCTATTGAAGCTGATGACCAAAAAGCCTCCAGAGAATTTGCAAACACATTCTTACCAATTCATTCAAATACATGAGGACCTCCCACATGCCAGTACTGAGCTAGAGACTGAAGATACAATGGGAGGCAACAGTCCTTGTCCTTAAGGGCCTAGAAGACAGGAGGCTGGGATAGAACTGCTATAATTCAGAGACTGAGCCAGGAAGTGGGGAAGAAAAAACCTTTAGTAAGGTCCCTATCATTGTGCACATCTTTCTTTTGTTACCGAGACACAACAGCTCCAACTTAACAGAAATACCACCTTCTTTTCCCTAAAGAAGAAATCTATTACCAAGTCACCCTTATTGATCAATTACAAAGTTGTCTTTATGTAATATTTGCTTGATTGCTCAGATATAAATTATGGAAACATCTCAATTGAAAAACCTCAATTCCTTTCAAAAACTTACCTAAACACCTTTCACATGTTTATTACTAACGAGCTTAACATTTTAAACCATTGGTCAATTCTTCTCTTGACCACTCTAGGAAACACAGGAAGGTTAGATAAGCTTCCTAAAAGATTAAGGAATAATTAAGATAATAAATCTTAGAGGGAATAAATCTGAGTTTGAATTTCAGTTCTGCTCTTCCTTTCCTGTCTATGATAGGCTATGTTAATGCACTAAGCCTCAGTGTTCTAGTCTGTGAAATGGGAATACCACTCTCTCTGATTTGTTTTAAGAACTGAACATGATGATGGCTATACAATGTTTAGCCTAAAACACAGCACTCATTCTAAGTAGAAAGTATTTATGTTCAACCATTTACTTTTATTTATTTTTTTTAATATATATTTTTAAATATTTTTTTTTTATTGCTTAAAGTATTACAAAGAGTATTACTATGTATTATGTCTCCTCCCCCCCGCCCCTCCCGCCCTTGACAATCCCCTGGCCTCCCCTACCCCCCAGTGTCTTGTGTCCATTGGTTATGCTTATATGCATGCATACAAGTCCTTCAGTTGATCTCTTACCCCCTCCTTGCCCCCCCCCCACCCTCCCCGGCCTTCCTGCTGTAGTTTGACAGTCTGTTCAAGGCAGCTCTGCCTCTGTATCTATTTTTGTTCATAAGTTTATAATGGTCTTTATTATCCATAAATGAGTGAAATCATGTGGTATTTTTCCTTCGACTGGCTTATTTCACTTAGCATAATCAACCATTTACTTTTAAAGAGAAATCGTTACACTCACCGACAGAAAAACATATGCAAGAATTCTACCAACTTCATATGATTATAGAAATCCCCTTAGCTTCTAACAATCTTAAGCATTTGTTCTTTTTTTTTAAATATATTTTATTGATTTTTTACAGAGAGGAAGGGAGAGGGATAGAGAGCCAGAAACATCGATGAGAGAGAAACATAGATCAGCTGCCTCCTGCACACTCCCCACTGGGGATGTGCCAGCAACTGGGGATGTGCCCGAAACCAAGGTACATGCCCTTGACCGGAATCGAACCGGGACCTTTGAGTCCGCAGGCCAATGCTCTATCCACTGAGCCAAACCAGTTAGGGCAAGCATTTGTTCTTAATAACCAGTTAAGATTAATGACTTCAGGGTTTAAAATATTTTTTTCCTTGAATATGAGTTGTTTATTTAGTTACGGGTTGTTGGGTTGTTTTTTGTTGTTGTTTTTTCACCAAAAAAAGAAAGTACTAATAAAACATGTCTTTCCCCTATTAAAATCTACTTTTACTTTTGCCTATTTGCTTTTAATGAAAGATAATTGCTCTCAGCAGCAAAAAAACATTTCTACACAAGAGTAAATCACAAGTATAAATAAAGAACCACAAAATTTTGTTTCCCCCAAAAAATGTTAAGAAAGACCAAGAAAATGAAATTCTTAACATCTCCTAAAATGAAGTGTCATATTTCACTCACCACCTATGCTACTCCTTTTTAGTTAATTCTGATTCTTCCACTGCAGGACTCCCATGATCACAGAGAATCCAAATACTTGCTTACAGAAACCCTTGAAGTGTCTGAAGAGAAATTCCCAGAAAACTAACTAGGAAGGAAAAGGCTCTTCTGATTGGATAACAGCTAGTTTCCAAGGTGTATTCAGAAACCTCTCTACTGGAAGCCAAATATTAAAATTTTCTTTTCCTGAAAACTAATTGGATTATGTGGCTGAAATGATAACTTAAGGAAAGATGAAAAGAAAAAAGGTAAGAAAAAAACCCCAAAAGTCTTCTTTCACAAATATTTAAGAGAGAAGGGTTTAAGATTTCATGTTTCCTTATTTATTGCTCCCCATTATGCATGCAGTTCAAAGTTATAAAAACCACTGGCTAGTTTGGCTCAGTGGATACAGCGTTGGCCTGCGGACTGATGGGTCCTGGGTTCGATTCCAGTCAAAAGCACATGCCTGGGTTTCGGGCTTGATCCCCAGTGGGGGGCATGCATGAGACAGCCAATCAATGATTCTCATCATTGATGTTTCTCTCTCTCTCTCTCTCTCTCTCTCTCTCTCTCTCTCTCTCTCTCTCTCCATTCCTCTCTGAAATCAATAAAAATATATTTAAAAATAACAAAAAACCACTAGCCATGGGCCTCTTTGTTGTTAAAAGAGGCTTTTAACAAACCTCTGACCTGAGGTGCTCACCTGAATAGTCACCATTGCAAGTTTTATAATTTGTATAACAAGTTTCCATGGTTTTCTGCCTCGAGCCCAGAATTTCTCACAAGGATTCATGAAAAAAAATTTGAGTTTTCGCCTCATCTGGTCTTCTAATAGGAGCTCCTCAGAGGGAGATGTATTCTGGTTAAATGTGCAGCCATTTTCCTCCTGCTGAGAGCTACAGCTATTTGTAACGACCTCAGGATTTGCCATCTCTAGAGGGAAAAAACAAACAAACAAAATTGTTTCCATTCTGTAAGTAAAGACACAAGTTTATGTTCTTTGCTATTGCAGGATAGTTGAAGGAGTCACAACAGAAGATCTGGTTTCAGATAAGCACCATTGTTGTAAACTGCACTTTAGATGTTTACAGACTCAATTAGAATGTTAACATATCATTTTTCTTTTTGTTTCCGTTATTAAATGATTTTTTTACTCAGTTAAATTTACAAAATTCAGGGACTTCATTTAGAAAAACGTTATATGTACTTACACATACATGGTACGTATAGGCTTTCTGTCTCGTTCAGTGGCAGATATGGAGCATGGATTGTGAGCTGAAAGCCAGGTCAGGGCTTCAGAGGGTAGATGGACCTTGGAATTATATGGGGACATTTTTTTTTATATGTGGATATGGCCACTTTTCTTCTGGAGAGACTTAAAAATTTATCAGATTATCAAAACAGTTTTAAACCACTGAGTTCTGATTGTTTTTTAATCCTGGCTCTACAACTGACACTTTTGTGACAGGAGCCTCTCTGACCCTCAGTTTTCCCTTCTGCAAAATGAAAACAGGAGGTGCTGTCATATGACTGTATTGAGCATTACAAGTGAAAATGCAACCAAAGCCCCTGCATAGGGCCTCACACTAAGCAAGCAGCCTCACTCTCCCCACAGCCCCATCAGTTTCCTAAAACTGCCCACAAGTTCTTAGTGGCCCTGTGAGCCTCAGGGGATTTAACTGTCCTACAACAGGGGGCACAGAAGCTCAATTTAAGTCCAAATCCCAGGCAGCCATGTCTTGTATTTGCTTTTTGTTGGAGACTTGATAGTTCTGTAGCACATTTTACTTTTCAGGGTACTTCACAGCTATTATTTCATTTGTCCCTTTGAAAAGGATAAGGCTGGTTTTTTTATTGTCTTTCTAGTCATCTTTTCCAAAGTGACCAAGAAGTCACTCCAGAAGCTGGGACCTATCTTGGACTTTTTTCTCAGACTAGTATGGACATTCTGGAAACCTGTTCAAAATAAAATACCCCAAACCACCAGGGAAAGTCCTTCCATATAAAAGGATGGCTCTGTTTGATATTTCTCTAATAACTTGTACTCAGAAATCAAAGGGGAATTCAAACTATACAGATTAATACAATATGTGTCAAGTCACTGTGTAGGCACCACATTCAAGCCTAGAATCCCATTGTTGGTTCTGGTTGAGACATTCATAGTAAACACAGCATCTCCAAACAATAGATATTCACTATAAGAACTAGGCATGGGATATGTTTTTAAACTCTTAATGTATATATATATATGCTATTGCTGAATCAATAACATAAAATATACTTACAATAGCATACAAACCCCTTCAAAATGAAATAATTATAATAGGACTCATTAAAGTGTGGCTTGTGTGTATGTTAAAATGCCTATCAAAGTGTGAGTACAATAGCTCTTAGGTAAAGACATAAAGGAGAGAAAACGTTTACCAGTACCTTAGGATTTTCACTCAAGAACACGTTATTCTTTTCTTCAAAAAGGTATGATGTTTTTAATCAGCATTTTAAAAGACTTTACTTATTATGGGACTTAAAATGAAGCTGATTTATGTTGCTCAAAACTCATATGAACATCAACATAATGAAGCTCTTAATAATAAAACATGTTGGTGAATTACAGATTTGAGGTCAATTAAGCCCTTTCTGTTTTGATACAGGGAAAATTAAACTTTAAACAAACCAGCCACAGGCCATGTAACAGTAACCCATAGGAACAAAAGAGAAAATGAGCCAACCCCAATTAATTTATTCAGCACATCGCACCTCGTTGTCCGGGGAACCAGATATTACATGTACCAGGACTGACCGCTAAACTTGCTGCAAACGTTAGCTTTGCCGCCTCACAGATGCCCTTCGGAGGAGGGTGCACTGTGAAAACTGCAACCAGTCCAGACCACTAGCCGCAGAAGGGGGGCAGGGCACACCCCTACCCACCCCAGAGCGCCCAGCGGGAGGCGGGATGGGCGGAGCTGCGGGTCCCGAGGGTGGTTATCTCGAGGTATTATTGGAATCTACAAACTAACACACAGGGGTTGTTTATTGAGGGCGATGAAAGACAACTGGATTGAGCTGCGGAAAATTACGGAGAACTAGGGACTATGTGTCAATAGCAAAAGCCTCACACCTGGTGACCAAGTAACGCAACCTCATTTCTCCAGAAGTGCGTTGTCACTTCATCAGACACAAACCTCGGGTCTCTTTTCCGTTCTTTCTTCCTTCCTTCACCTTTTTATCTTTTCTCGACGAGCGCTCAGGCTAACTTTATTGGGCTGGTACTTGGTTCCCGGAAGGGCGTGAAGGCACCGCGCTCATCCGAGAGCCGAGCCCGCAGCCGCCGCGCCTTCCTGCCGGGCCACTGCGCCCTGAGCCCCTTAGACCACCGAGCCCGGCTGGACGCTGCTTTCGCCCAGCGCCCGGACCCCGGCTTTGTGCCCGCCCCCATTTCCGTCCGCCCCCGCGCCTCTAATAAAGGGATATCTTAGCGAAAAGAGGCTGGCTGTGCACCGTCCAGAGACTCCAGACCATCTCTGAGCCGCCGCACGCAGTCCGCCCCCTCCCCTCCCTAGGCCTTCGGGGAGACGTCCTCTGGTGGCTCCCGGCTCTCGACATCTCCGCCTCCGGCTTCTCGGCGGGCGGGGGCCCGGCTGCGGGGCGCGGGGCAGAGCCTCCAGCCACTGCAGCCGGGTCCGAGTCTCCAGGCGGGGGGCGCGCCGACCCGACCCGCGGGACCCCCGCCCGACCCCGGCCCGCGCGCGCCCCCACTGACCTCGGCGGGGTGGCCGGGCGGGCGCTGCGCCCAACACCTGCAGCTGGTAGCCGCCTGCCGCCTGTGTCTCCTCCATAGACCCGACGTCCGGGCGCCGACCCTCCCGCTTTAAGTCCCCGACGGCTCCGACATCGCGGTTCCTCCCTGCGTGGCGGGCGCCGTTCCCACGACACCTGATGCCTCTGGGCGGCGCGGGGCTGGACTCACCTGAGGCCGTCGGCGCACCTGGGGGGCGGGGGGGCGGGAGCAGCGGGGCGACCCCGGGGTGCGCCGTTAGCAGGCCAGCGGGGAGGCGTAGGGTCTTCCGAGCCGCCGGGGGACGCGCTGTGCCCGGGCGTCACTCTGGAAACCTCTGAGGCTCGGCTCAGCGGGCAGAGCGGGCGTCCGGCCGCCAGGAGCCGCTGCCGCTGGCATCCTCCCGCCTCCCGCCCCCTGAACTCGTGCCCCTCCGCCCGCTGCTCCGGTTCCCTTCCACGCCCTTTCTGGAGCCGTCTTTCAGGGGGGCAGGCGGGGCGAGGAGGCTGTCCGAATGAGCCCAGCATTCTCCGGCACCCCACCCCTACCCCCCTGCTGTCTGGGCCCCAGTAAACCACTCGCACACCCCTGCACGTGCTCTGCGATGGAGCGAGAGCTGTGGGAGGCGAGGTGAAAGTACTCGGGCTCCGGGCGCTTCCTCTCACTTGGTGGGGGAAGGGGAGAAGGGAAGGGGCGCGAAGAGGGGCGAAGAGCCCGCGGGCCTTGGGTGCGCAGACCTCTCCAACAGCTGTCAGTTCTGGTGTTTGCATACAGGAGAATCAAAAAGTGCAGGGCTTCTCAAGCTGAGACGTGCACCCTCTCTAGGCCTTCCAGTTGTGCAAAATTGCTGTGACGTTAATGAACTGTTAGATCCTCTAGACTGGCTGCTGGGACCCAAAGCGCCCTGGACAGCTCCTGGAAGAAATGGGTCTAGAAATATTTGAGGTAGTGACAACGATTCTTTGCTTGGTCAAACTTTAGTCAGGCCCCTACACTTTCTCCTAGGTGCCTCTGTGCACTTTCTTGTAAAATCCGATTTTAGCAAGAACGCTGCCAAGTCAGTTTACCAGAATCCGCTCCCCTCCCCCCGAAATACCCCCCCCCCCCCCCCGCGCAGTATTTGATTATCCTCCATTTCTGATGGGGTTCCTCATCTTCCATCATCCCTCAGGTGATGTCTGATCACCCTGGCCTGTTTTCAGTTAGGTAGGTTTAGCCTGAACTTCCCTCACCCCTGTGGTCTCTTAGTAATTTTTCACCCACTTGACCATACTGAATTTGGAATTGAGCCCCAACTCTCTCCCCCACTGTGAAATCCCATTGCAGTGGTCCCTATAACTGTCTCCATGGGCCAGAATAAAGTCTGCCTTCTATTTTTAACAAGTGCTGTTGAATATTTTTCTTCTTTAGGAGTGGACCCCGAGCCCTGCTGCAGTGGCTCAGTGGTTGAGTGTGGACCTATGAACCAGGAGGTCACGGTTGGATTCCATGCTGGGGTTGCCTGCTTGATCCCCAGTAGGGGGCATGCAGGAGGCAGCTGATCAATGATTCTCTCTCATCATTGATGTTTCTATCTCTCTCTCTCTCCCTGTCCCTTCCTCTCTGAAATCAATAAAAAAAACCAAAAAACATATATATATATTTTAAAAGAGTAGTTCTCGAGCCATGATTTTTTTTCTTTATGAATTTTTTAAACTAAACCTGAGTTTACTCCTTATCAGGACTACATCGGGAACTTGGTTAATTTGAATCACAACCACTTTGGATATATTTTGATTGTTTTTTTTTTATTATTTTTTGGCCCCAGGTAAATTTGTTTAAAAAATTCACTGAATTTCATAACAGGTAATTCCCCCAAATTATATAAAGAGCTGTCAGATCCTTTTTCAAAACCTTTTACAAATCCTAAACCAGATTGTATGGGTAATTTATAAATGAAATACCTTTTCTTGAAATGGAATACAAGAATTGTATGCTGTTCATTAATCTGAATCCCAGGTGCTGGGAACAAGGAGATACTCAAAAGGCTGTAACTGGCACACTCAATTCTCAAGTGCAATTTGGGAAATACAATTTAATCTCTAATGCCCATATGCCTCCACATGCTTTAACACTGTTTCCTTACAATAATAGTGAAGTCATCTTTACAATGGGAGTTCAAAGTGCTTTATTTTTCTAGAACAATCTAAACTTTGGAGGGGTTTGCAGATATAAATGATAACCCTAACTTAACCCTAGAGTTGACTTAAGTAAATGAGTGAATAGAAAAAATCCAGGCTTTGAAGTCAGGTGAATGCGGGCCCAAATTCCCTTCTGTGCCACTTACTGAGTGACCTTGGGGAATTACTTAACATCTTCACCTCCCCAGTCCCTTCTATTGTAATCCATCTAATAATAGGATGCATGCAAAGCACTCATTACTATGCCTGGCATATTTTATGTTCTTGTAAATGTTCATGGGGGGGGGAGGGGGGAGTCTAAATTAATGAATGAATCAACTATGTTCATGAATTTCAAGACAATATTATTAGGATATTAATTATCAACAAGTTTATTTATAAAGTCAACCCAATATCAATCAAAATTCCAGGAAGACTTTTTGTAGAAATTGACAAGCTGATTCTAAAATTCATACGGAAATGCAAAGAAACTAGAATAACCGAACAATTTTTTAACATAAAGACAACCTTTTGGTGCTTGGGATAACACTTCAACCAACTGAGCCATCTGGCTATGGTTCATTTGCTTTTATAACAATGAAATTATTTTGTGTTTTCAAAACACTGTATCATTTAGCGAATATTTCAAACACTGGAAAATGCAACAAACATGATTGGGTAGTATTCAGATAATGTAACATTAGGATGTCCTAGCAAGATCAATAGTATTATAAAGAAATATGTTGAAATCACCAATTTAGGGAGTTATTTTGTTTGCAAAACTTGTTATTTCTTGAATAAACTTCTTAATGTTTATTTGCATGAACTAACATGACAACAATGACAATTAAGACTGACAACTTAGATTTTCACTGCTTCTTTATTTTTATTTTTTTTTTAAATATATTTTATTGATTTTTTACAGAGAGGAAGGGAGAGAGATAGAGAGTTAGAAACATCGATGAGAGAGAAACATCGATCAGCTGCCTCCCGCACATCCCCCACTGGGGAAGTGCCTGCAACCCAGGTACATGCCCTTGACCGGAATCGAACCCAGGACCTTTCAGTCCGCAGGCCGACGCTCTATCCGCTGAGCCAAACCGGCTTTGGCTTCACTGCTTCTTTAATGTGCTTCTGTCATACTGCCATAATATTGACCTTAATATTTGACTCTGCATGGCAGAGTTTCCTGTCTTCCTTTTGACTTGGTGTCAATACATTCATTTAAGCCAATGGTTGAATGTTAAGGCTTAATTTTCCCTTTTACATTATTTTCGGCACCTTTGTCAAGAATCGATTGATATATATATATATGGATATTTCTGGACTCTCTAGTCTGTTCCATTGTCTACATATATTCTATATGTCTCTATACACATACCAAACTGTCTTGCTTTAGAATAAGTCTTGAAATCAGGGAGGGTAAGTCTTCCAATCATATTTTAATAGCTATGTATTTTGTTAGATGGGTACTAGAATCATCAGGGCAATCACTTTGTAAGTTACATAAACATCTAATCACTATGTTGCACTATGTTGAAACTAATATAATATTTTAAGTCACCTGCAATTGAAAAATAAATTTTTAAAAATTTGGGCAAAGGCCTAGCTGGTGTGGCTCAGTAGTTGAGCATCTACCTATTAACCAGGAGGCCGTGCATGTTTCAATTCCCTGTCAAGGCACATGCCCTTCCCCCACTCGGTCCCCAATATGGGGAGGGCAGGAGGCAGCCAAGATCAACGATTCTCTCTCATCGTTGATGTTTCTCTCTCTCCCTCTCCCTTCCTCTCTGAAATAAATTTAAAAAATATTTTTAAAAATTGAGCAAAGGCTATGAGCTGGTTACTCATAGAATAAGAAACCTTATCAGAGAAAAAAATGAAAACATTTAAAAAGAAAGTAAGCTTATATAAAGCAATGTATAACCTGGCCGGTTTTGCTCAGTAGTTATAGCATCAGCCCTTGGACTGAAGGGTTGTGGGTTCAACTCCTGGCCGAGGGGATGTACCCCCATTAAAAGTTTGATCCCAGCCCCAGAAGCAGGAAGCAACCAATCAAAGTTTTTCTCTCTCTCCCCCTCTTCTCCCTCTCTTCCATTCTCTCTAAAAAAATCAATGGGGAAAATATATCCTCAGATGAGGAATAAAAAATAATTATAAAGCAACATATGCCCTAATATCCAATCTCATAATGCTTTTGTAATCAATTTTAATAACTGAACCAACATCAAATACAGAATGAAAAACATTTTTCCTCATCTGGACTATTTGTCATAAAACAAAGATTAAATCTATTGGATAAGGCAATTAATGTCTCATATATTTTGAGTTGTCATTTGAAGAATAACTTTTGAAATATTAAAATTTTTCTTTTTAATAATTTTATATTTTTCATTAACTCTTCCTTCTTTCAATGTTTTTTATTATGAAATGTCTATAACAGGTAGCAATAATTTTTACATGTAAATTAAATATGTAATCTTGTTTAATATATTGGTTTATAATAATAGTAAACCAAGCTTTCATTATTACCTTTTTTTAAACCAAAAGAAACTTCTGAAACTTTTGGTATAACCTTATCACAGAAAAATAATTCATTGTTTATTATGGTTACCCATTATATTTCTAAAGCATCTATATATATAAAAGCCTAAGTGACCATTAGGACTGGTCGACTGAACAACCAGTTGACCAGTTGCTATGATATGCACTAACCACCAGGGAGCAGATGCTCAGTGCAGTAGCTATCCTTTGGTGGTCAGTGTGTTCCCACAGCCAACCTCCCACAGTCCCTTCCCCTGGCCAGCCAACCTCCTGTGGTCCCTCCCCTGGGCCAGGTGGGCCCGATCGGCCCTGACCAGGACTGGGCAAGGCAGCCCAGATTGGCCCCAATCGCTGGCCAGGCCAAGGAACCTCACCCATGCACAAATCCATGCACCGGGCCTCTAGTGTAAAATAAAGTGCTATGAAAAAGAAAAGTATATATTATCCTCTCAGGAGTTCCATTTTTTTCCTAGTCCCAAAGGTTAATCTCTTGGGAATTGGAAACAGTACTACATAACCAGTGACTTCCTACAGCATTCTTGATATCTGATGGATAGCTTTTTTCACATTTTTATCTTCTTGCCATCTCAAAAATCCTGTGTGCTTCAGAGCCACATAACTCAGCTGAAAGTCTCAGGTAGCACGGGTATTAATCATGTACATGTGAAACCCTGATATTTTCCCCTTGTCTTTTTACATTTGTACCAATGCATTTTCTTTTCCCTTAATTCCATCTCTTTTTTTAATTAAAATGCTTATTTATTC